AGGTTTGCATGATTCTTGAGTTGTAAGTTGCTTTTTTGTTGTTGAGCAATGACTAGAGTTGAGCACGGCGAATTGTTTGATCGGGTGAAAAGTCTTGGCCAGTTGTGTGAGGATGATGCGAAATTCTTATTTTTGCAAATTGTTATTGCTACCAAGGTATGTGGCAGAGTCGTTTTGATTGGGGAAATTTAGTATCTGCATGACAACGGCATAACACATAGGGATTTGAAGCTAGAAAACATATTGCTGTCAGGGAGGTCGAACAGGAGTCTAATCAAAATAACAGACTTTGGTCTGTCAAAATTGGTTGATGGGAACACAGTGTTGCGGACATTCTGCGGAACTCGTCCGTACATGGCTCCAGAAGTGCTGCTAACTGCCGGCATCGGCACCTACACGTCAGCGGTCGACATATGGTCGCTTGGCGTGATTTTATACGCGTGGTAAGTGGTTTTCTTGCCGTATGTGTACAGTGTTAGTTTTCTCCTATGGTGGTTGTCATTTAATGGTTTGGTACGAGGCAGTCAACGATCGGATGTTCCCAAATAATCTGTTAGACGCACGATTCACTCGTAGTTGGTGTCATGAAGTGTCTGGTTGTCGTTGTAGCCTGGTCGGCTATCCTCCCTTTACCGAAGAGCGAAAAGATTACGACTTACAAGAACAGATACTTGGTGGACGTTATGATTTTCCGGATGAATATTGGAGTGGAATCAGCGCATCAGCTAAGGATCTAGTGCGAAGGCTGCTCTGTGTCAATCCCACGGAGCGAATTTCACTAAATGTAAGTTAGCACCCCTCGTCCATGTATACTCACGTTTTTAACAGAAGCGCAATGGTCTTATTCGTAGGCGTTATATAGGTTGCATCGCAGTATGTGAACCCGAAAGAGCAAAGTGTGTTTGTTTTGGTGGAGGTCGAATGAACACCTCAAAGAGGTGCCCGGGAGAAACGGTGTTTTCGATTTGTTCGGGCTTTGTTCTTGTGAATGTTGTCGCTGTCAGCAAACGCTTGCTCCTCACACAAGTCACAGCACTTCGTCACGGTTTGTGTGTGTGTGTGTGTGTAAGAAGTATTTTGTTGTTGACGTTGCGTCGATTTTCATTAGGCTGCTTTAGCGCACCCGTGGTTGTCAGACGCAACGATTCGCAGCCAGTTATCGGACCTCGTGGAGACGGCGGGTTATCCCACCTTAGCGGCCCGTGTTCTGAACCACCACGACCACTTCTCGCCTGTAAGAAACAACAGCGACTCGGCCACAGTTAGTCTTGATGGTGGTAGCCGTGAGGAGGACACAACCAAGGTCGAATCAAAAGCTGTCACAGTGAGCTCCAAGTTTCCCTTGTGCTTTGTTATATGTGGTTGAGCACTTGTGCTAGAGTTGGTAAGCAAACAATGTCCATGTGTTGGTGTTGACCAGGTAATCGTCTGTTGTTTGTATTAGTTCACCAGCCAAACGATCTCACATGTGATGGCGGATGTAGGAGAAATTGATCGTCGTGCTAACGCTGGCTTTTTACACTTCTAGTTAAACCTTCAGAGGAGGTCGGTCAACGAAGTTCTCACAGATGGTTCTCCAGCCAAACGCACGAAATGTGTCCTGATGGAGCATTGAGATTTTTCCTAGAGATCCCGTAATTGTGTAATTATAAATATTTTTTGATAATTTTATGATTCAACTTGTTCACTTGAACGTGAAGCAGAGGATTTCAAGATAGCTGAGTTCCTCACAAGCACTATTCGTCTGTCAGCTAGATATCAGCTGAGGGACATAAATTATGCCACAGGTTGGCCCACATTGCAGATCGAGTCAGTTGTGATAACTTCAACTTCATGACATAACCTAAAGAAGCTAGGTCTAAGCACTCCTGCCGTTAAGTCCAGAAAGGCTTTTGCTAACCCAAGGCACTAGGTGACTATGGATTCAGGTTGTACACCATTCAGTGGGAGGGAGAGTTAATGTCGGATGGCCATTTGCACAGTTGTGCATGCTGCGGATAGCGTGTGGCTTTGAGGCCCTGGGTCAGATTTGGCTACTTGGAGTCGTTTGGAAATACTTGTCATCTTACGTGAAGGAGTCAACTGGTTAAAGTTGCACGTGGTCCTTTAAGCGAATCGGGATCCAAGTGTGCACAGATGTCAGCAAGCGAAATGACGCGCCATCAACCCATCGAGGGACAAATGTAGACAACACCACACTTATGCTAAGTTGAGACTTGATATTTGACCAGCTTGAATACGTAGAGACGGACAGCCTAGTGGAGGTCCCTCGGTTGTCCACTGCACCAAGCCTTGCACTTTCTGGAGTGAGCAGTAGCGGACAAAACGCAGACGAAAAGAGAAAGGGCGTAAGGCAATGCTGAACTAGCGAACGATTCACGCACGATGATACCTTTGCTTGGAAGTGTGCGTTCACGTGTGATTTATTTGCAGGACTGCTGTTTCTGCTAGGATGCTGTGTTTGGTAGCGATCATAATTTGTTTCACGCATATGTCACTTCAAGTGCATATGCAACCGGATTTAATGCATGGAGCTAACATCAAGTGTGTGCAATAATTGGTTAAACGTGATTGCCCTACAGCAATCTATCGTGCTAATGATTGGATACACAACAAACGGTCCAAACTATGGCACATTGGCCCAAACGACACAGGTCGAAATCTTGTGAGTGCTAGTGTATTGACACGTGCATTGTAAATTGGGAGCAATGTGTATTGCGCCGGGAAGTGAGACTTGTTTCAGCAAGACTTGCCCACTTTGTACATTGAGTGTTGATAAGTCTTACAACTTGGACTCGCACATGTGCTACTGTCGATTTTAGATGCACCAAACGTGTATGTGGGTGTGTCATGGCAGAAAACAGCGGCGAAAGAAGAAAAAATAAGAGTGATGACAAAAGTATGTTGCTGTCACGATCCGTTGGAGGACATGAAACAGAGGATCTCAAGAGGACTGAGTTCTGCACAAACACTAGTAGTCTGTGAGCTTGGTGTTAGGGCAGGACCACCAATTATGGACATAAACTTCCCAAATATTTCAGGTTGGCCCACTTTGCAGAAGGAGTCAGTTGTGATGACCTCAACTCCATGGCGTAAGCTTCAAAATCTATGTCTAGACGTTCCTCCCGTGAATCTTAGTTTAGCCTTTTTTACTTGTCGTATGGCCTGAGATGACTGTTTTTCATGTACTCTCTCTGTTATTTGATCTGACCTGAAACATGCTAAACGTCAATTAATACCTTGAATCGCATGTCGAAATATAATGGCATTCACTTGCATTTACGCGCACCCTGCCTATCTTCCGGAGTTCACTATTTATCTCTCCGATTTCTATCAGGTTTATTTTCACAGGAGTGCAATTTTACTTACTCTTGTCATTCTAACAGAACGACCAGTATTTGCGTATAAGAGATTTTTATGTGCGACTTGATTTAGTCGAGGTTGATGAAGATCTAACGTGAATTTATCTGTTGTTGTTAAATCCAGCAAACCAAAATTCCGTAAAGTGAGGTATGAATTCATGCAATTTTTATCAGTGCTCCTTTTTGAAGAAATAATCCCATGTGGTTTTTGGTTGTTAATCCATTAGCCTGTTAAGGTCGGTACCAGACAAGGGATCTGGCACCGTTTGCCTGATTTGATTTTTTTGGTTACATGCCATCATAAAAATTTGGCGACTTAGGTGAGATAGGTAACATTAAGATTGAACAATTACTCGAGCGGTTAGTTGTGATGGTGGCAGATCGGCAGTTGTCTCAGATCCCTCTCGCCAGAACGCCGTCAATTGTTGGCCTCAGCAACTACCTTGGATTTCTTCTATGATCCGAAGAATGGCTTACCATTCGAGTCCTGGTATCGGCGTTGAGAAGACCTGTTCCTAGTCGAATCCGCGTCCCAGGACGACACGTGGAAGGTCAGACTCCTTACCCGTAACCTGGGTCCAGCTGAACTGAAATGATACACGGACATGATCCTCCACTAGTCCTCTCTCGACTTCAGTTTTGGAGAAACCGTTCAAAATCTCAAGCGGATGTGTGGAGAACGTACCTTGTTAAGTACCCGGTACCGATTTCTTTAGTTCTGAATAAGAGTTCGATCGAAATCCCTCCTTGATGCTAGACGATATCCGCGATGAATACCTACACTGGAGGAGCGTGCTGCAGGACTCCAGAATGGTCCAAGCTGGAGGTCGTAGTGCTCTCGAGGTCTATGCGGTCTAGTGTATACACAAACCACCTTCCATTTTTGGCTCTTCCAGCCCTCGTCAGCCAAAATCGGACAGAGAATCAGCCGGTACAACTCGTCGAAGGAGAACAAGAGGCATCCCTTCTTCCGCGTGCTAGCACTGTGTCAAGTTCTGACCACAAAGGCAGCACCAATGCCAGAAATGTAAAGTCATGGGTCACAAGGACGGATTCTGCCAATCGTCCCCGCCCGACAAGAGTGGACGACCTCCTCACCTTCAGGCAAAAAAATGATCAGAAGCCAAATCAGCCAGTTCCACCGTTGCATCGCCCAGCCTACGGGTCTCCTCCGAAGCAGCAGAGGACATCTGCAACCGTTCAGTTTGTCAGCAGGTAGACACAGGATTGGACTTTACTATAATCTCGGAGAATCAATGGTGCTCCCTCGGTCGGCCTCCACTATGGGTTACCTTTCAAATGGCAATCAGTGCTTGCAGCGGTGAAATTCACTTCCGCGGTCAAATGCAATGCTGTGTGTCCTTTCGCGGAACAGCCTTCAGTGGCACATGTCATGTCGTCATCACCAAGCTGAACATTCCTGGTCCGGATTGGTTCGAACAATTAGGTTTGGCCGATATCCCGATCAGCTCCATCTGCAATGCCCTACTTTTGTCGAAAACACTCTGGGAACATACCGCGGACATCATCAACCAGTTCACTACGGTTTTTCAACCTGGATTGGGACACTGTTCCATGACACAGGCTACCCTTCGCCTTATGCCAGACGCCAAAGCGGTCTTCCGTCCAAAAAGACCGGTCCCATACTCATCGTTACCCCTGGTCTCGTACTAATCCTGGCGGCCCCAATCGTCATGGTAAAGAAGGTCAATGGTTCAACACCGATATGCGTCGACTTCTCCACTGGACTAAATGCAGCTCTGGAACCACACCAGAGGACCTATTTACAAGTCTGAGTGGCGGAGAATACTTCACCAATCTCGACCTGGCCGATGCCTACCTACAACTAGAAGTTGCTCCTGAGTCCCGTTCACTGCTATCAATACCCATCGCGGTTCATTCTAATACAACCCCCTACCCCTCGGAGTCAAGACCGTTCCTGCAATTTTTCAACAAACCATTGACACCACCCCGGCCGACATTTCTGAGTGGCAATATACCTCGATGATCTACTAATTGTAGCTAGCTAGTGAGATTAGTTACGCAAGCAGATCAAAGAAGTTCTTTAAAGGATTTAAGATATCGAGCTCAGACTTCGCCAAGAAAAATGCGAGTTCTTCCTGACTTTGGTCAAGTATTTGGGTCTTAACTTTGACGCCTCTAGTCGGCATCCGGATCCTGAGAATATCCGCACTATACAGCGAATGCCGACTCCCAAAGATGTTCCCTCACTGCACTCCTTCTTAGGGTTAATCAGCTATTACTCGGCTTTTCTACTGTCGATGAAAAATGTCCGGACACCACTGAATCACTTGCTTGGAAAGGATGTACATTGGGTTTGGTCCAACGAGTGCGAAGCGGCCTTCTGTCAACTCAAATCAATGCTCAGTTCGGACCTACTGCTGACCCTTTATGATCCAAATCCACCAATTTCTATTGCAGCTGACGCCTCCGCCAAGAGCATTGGAGCCATCAACCCTCATGTTATTCCCGACGGCACAGAAGAGGCCATAATGCACGCATCAAGGTCGCTGACAACGACAGAACACCGTTACGGACAGATTGGAAAAGGAGCTCTTGATAAGGTTTTCTCTCTCCACCGTTTCCCTAAGCTCATTTACGGCTGACGATTCACTCTACTGACAGACCACAAGCCGCTGCTGTCAATTTTTGGATCAAAAACGGGCATTCCAACTCAGTACCGTCGCACAGAGGACTTCGGGCAGGCAGACGTCCTATCACGGCTCATCAGTTACCAGCCCACCACCAAGAAAGATGCTGTCATTGTTGACGAATGTATCACACAATAGCTATTTCAAACAGTGGGTGCACCGGCGGTTTCGATTCTCGACATCATATGGAAAACGGCCTCGGACAACACACTGCGGCAGGCCATCCGTTACGTCCAAGACAAATGGCCAAAACGCTCCCCCACCGGAGAGCTTCAGCAGTTGTTCCAGCGACGCGATTCCCTCTGCGTTATACACAGCTGCTTGATGTTCGGAGAAAGCGTTTTGGTGCCCAAATCACTACACGTGCGCGTTCTCCGTCAATTTCATACTGACCATCCCGGCATCGGTCGCCCACAGCTACGTTTATTGGCCAAATATGGATAAGCAAATTGCAGATCCAGTAAAGAGTTGCCACAGATTCTAGCAAGCGGCCAAGAAATCTCACAAGATTCCTTCAGTCCCTTGGCCACAATCACACCAACCCTGGTCACTCATCCATATAGACTTTCCAGGACCGATTAACAGAGTCTCTTACCTTTTGCTGGTGGGCACCAACTCAAAATGACCGGACATCGTCCCTATTACTTCCCCCACAACAACAAGGACATTACAGGCTCTGTATTAGATTTTCAGTTGCCATGGAATTCCGGAAACTATAGTCTTCGACAATAGCTTAGTCTACATCGCAAAAATTCAGGGAATTCTGTCGACGACATGGAATTAGCCGCATGCGTTTCCCACCCTTCTACCCACAACCAAATGTACAGGTGGAAAGTTTCGTCGACATATTGAAGCGGGCCCTGCCAAAATCCCGTGTGGAAGGAACGACGTCCGTCGACAGCCTACAGAATTAACTGCTGGTCTATCGTACAACACCAAACGAGGCTCTCCCAAATCGACAGTCGCCACCCGATGCACTCGTGGGTCACAAACTGCGGGCAACAAACTCTGTCATGATTCCGTTATAAGACAACCGCCTGGAGTCTCCAAGTACGAGATCTACCACTACATTTGAGATTGAAACAGCCGTGTGTGTTCGAGACTCTCGACTGAAACACGACCCATGAATCGAGGGGACGACTGCACGTCGACAAGGAAAGGTCATGTTAAACGTGACGGCATCGCAACTAGCTCCAATGTAGAAAAGGATCTACGACATCGAAACGCAAACGAACGTCCTGCAGGAAGTGCTGATCGACAGTTTCCAGCTGCCGACACCGAAAGCAATGCAAGTGAAAGTGGACAGAGATAAATTAGCAGCAGACCAATCATCACGAACGAGACGGGGTACTCGGAAACGACGAAACCCAACACTACTCCAAGTCGACCCAAAGAAGGGGCGATACTAGTTTTTCAAGGGGGAGAGGTGTTGAGGATCCTCATCGCCGATTTCAACATTATTTACACTAATCCCCTAACATCTGTGCTAATCCATTTTCATCCATCAGGTCAAGGCCACCATTGACTTATGTAAGTGTTCACCTTATGACAAATCATTCACTCTGGCTGAGACGATTAAAGCTCTCTGCACGAGCTCTGGTCATGTCTTGCAGTAGCGTGAGAAGGTCGGTTCTAGCGTCAGACAAGGAATCTGGAACCGTTTATCTCAGTGGATTTTTTTGTTACGGGCAAACGTAACAATTAACAGTTAGTCTACCTCTACGACTAACCTGAAACACTTCCCCATGTGTAGACTCGTTTCTTAACAATTCTCCTGAGAGTTAGCCGCTTCACGTAAATTTCATCGAGTCAATTGACAACGCTAAGCAATAATCCAACAATAGACGCACAGAAACAGGGATTCGGAAGGTTGTCATTATTTTAAAGTGTGTGTGAGCGAGGCTCGGATTGGCTAAACACTGATCACCAGAGCAACTTTAGCGCCTCTGTTGAATGCCCCGAATAACGTACAAGGAAACATATAAGATCCAGATACAGGTAAAAAGCGCATCGTGGGCATTGTCGAAGGTCGAAGCTGTCGCAATGCTTTCAAAACGCTCCCTCAACGCGATGAAATATACCTAATTCAGACGTTTAATTGGCGCGTACCTCCTAGTATCAAAATAACGGCTTCCATGAATGCTGAACTTGCGGATTCCAGCTCAATCAAGCCTGATTTAAAGTGAAATTCAAAAAATGCCTTTGCCAACCCAAAACACTCTAGGTAACTATGGATGCAGGCTGTACACCCACATTCGTTCGCGAAAGTGCAGCTGAACTGGGGCCTAACCACCACGAATGTCGACAACTGCATCAAGAATATCCACATTCAGTTCTCGACACATGTGTTAACTCAAGTGTTTTCGGGCCTGGAAGAAATATGCCTATTTTATAAGAGCACAAAAGTTAATAAACTCAGCAGGTCAAACAATACGGGAGATCTCCAAGTGAGAAGAGTGCTTCACTACGGGTTATCCTGTTGAGTTTGCTGAGCCTGTTGCTGGAGCGCAGCTGCGTAAACCGCCTGAATGTGCTGCTCCAGCTGATGGTGCTGCTGGTGTTGGTGCAAAATAAGTGCCGCAGCCTGCTGTTGCTTGAAGTGTTCGAGTAATTGCTGATGCGTGGCCTCGTGTGGCTGCAACAGGCCTGCGGCCGCGATCAGGGCCTGGTGTTGGTGCATGGCAATGAGGTGATGCGCGAGTCCGTAATTGCAGGGTGTCGACGACGCCGGAGGGAGAACGGATGGCACAACAGAAGGCACTACGGTAGTTCCGCCTCCCATCCGAGCCACACCACGTGCAACAAAACTCGGCGTCGTAAGGGCCGTGTCACTATTTCTTGACAATAAGGTAGTAAGCGGTGCTGCGCAAGACGTGCTTTCAATTCTCACACGCTTGGAGTCGATAGTTTCAGAGGCCTTTATATCACCGTCAAGGATGACTTCACTTGTAGAAGTACTTGGGCTTTCAGTAGCATCGAGCACAGCGTCGAAATCCGGATTGGTAGCTAAAGGCGTAAACAGACGCTCGAACGTGTCAGATAGAACTCGTGGAATGAGACAAGAAAGCAAATAAGCTTTTGTCAGGTGGACCCAATACAACTGAGCAGATTCGGAAAGACTAGGTAACTACACCACCCGTCTTATCATCACTCCAACCTCTAAGACTCAATGTTTTAAACACTTACACACACACACACATCCCAACACGAAATACACTCGTTTGCCAAAACCAGGTCAACTAGCCACTGTCAACACTACTAAACCTACGCCGTTTTGAATACACTGTACTAAGAAACTAAGCACATTTGGTAGTGCTGCATACACCCACCTGATGAAGTCGGTTCCCCCCCACACCACGCTTGAGCACAGCCACCCTCCAAACGCTTCCGTGCTTCATAATGCCTGTTCTGCTCACGAGTCAAATGCACGCCCACCAAGTGACCAAGTGCTACCGCTAGCCTTTGCTTAACACGTTCATTCATCGGCCGATTTAGTTCACTTATGAAGCAAGCAAGCTACTCCACCAAACAACACTACAAGCTACAAACAGAAAAAACGCATCGCTTCGTGGAACGCCTCAACCACACTACCTGACGGCTTTCGTTATATAGCCATGTTGCGCTAACTCCAAACAGCCACTTCAATTAACTCGAATAAGTTTTGCATAGCTAGGATAACGGTGGACCTTGGGATCAAGCAATTGCATTGTAATCAGTGATTAAACTCATTCGTGACGCATGGCTTGCATTCACTAAGGACCCAACACCATCTTAACCAAAAGCTGCAGCATAGGCGAATTTGTGAAGGGCTGCAGCTTACGAGGCGGTGACAGATACGTGGATGTCACAGTGCTCCAATAACTTTTGAGACATCACCAAGTACCTACTCGACGTATGCTTCAACGCCTGGTTGAGAGGCCGTGGCTTCACTCATTTACAAATTTTCTCGGAATCTCAACCAATTGTCCAGTTGATATATATTGCTTGTCTTTCTCAGCACAAAGTTGTCTACGCAGACCGATTAGTTTGTTTGTATGGAAGCAGATTTTCCTAAATGCGATGTTAACGTAACTATTCTTCAAACACATGCAACTGCACATACAAAATAACGGAGTTTCTGTCTAGCGGTGAAAGTGACAATTGTGATTCCCTCGTCGTTTTGTCAGGTTTATTCTCCCGTAATATGGCTTTTAATAGACAATAATATTAAAGAGTAGAAGGCCATTGATAAAATATTTCTTCAGTAGAATTAGAGTTAAAATCCATGACCAAATATGTAAAGTAGCTGAAGTATTGATAACCCAGAGGATTTTAATTAGCACATGACAGGACTTGCCTTGATGCGTAAGCCCGAAAACACGTTTCACAATTGCTTGCTTCTAACTAAACTACCGTCATGGCCCAACACAGATGTACAGCCCAGGTTCTGGTTTGGCTGACAGGTAACGACTACGCAGTGAGTCGATACCACGCTACGTTGTCCCATAACGACGTTCAGACGCCCAATTTAGCATAACCGAAGACAGGGTATATAAATGCTCACAACTACCTACCCGGACGCTTTCTGCTAGCGGAAGTCGTGGGAGGACCCTCGGAAATGTCAGAAGTTGTAGCATCACTTGTAGAACCGTGAACAGTAAAGTCGGCGTTAACCGATGGTGAGTGGGCAGGTGACGTCTCGCCTTCCTCAGGAAAAACGAAAATACTGTCATCAGGCGCGGATACGAGGCGGGCTTCACGATTTGCGTCGAAGCAAAAACTCGCGTTGACACACTCATCCGATATCGCTGACGCCCGTTCTGGAGGGAGCCAGCGCTGAAGATGAGCACGTACCTCCTCAACACTTTTTAGACGCGACCCGCCTGGTCTGCAGTGAACAAGTGAATTGAGTTATTAAAGAAATAATTAAAAACAGCCACAAGTATGCGTCTTCATTAATAGCTTAGACTGATTTAAAGATGTGAAAGAGGAGCTACCATGCTATAATTAGTCACCAGAAACGCCAGTAAACTTGATAACAGCCGGCATTTTATTGACAAACAAGTGCACAAATAGGTCAATTTTACTACATGAACTACTGCCGTGATAAATAACATCAAGGAAACTGGTTTAACCACCTCTCAAAGACATCCTACAGGCAACGTGACTTTCGGTCTGTCTAGTTCACGTTGTATTTAAAACAATAAGTCATTTTAAAGCACCTCACTTTCATCTATCCATTGCTTCGCCTGCATAACAGTGTAAAATCGCTTTGTTTCTGGACCTTCAAGCCCCAGGTTAGTGTTCATGTCATTGTAGTTTATATACTACTCGCCAAGTGTGATCATCCCCACCAGACCTCTTCAAGGCACCTTCGCCAAAACTAGGGCCAATCATAGGTCAAGTCTTGGCCGATAGAGCAAAACTTTATGGATCGGTTATTAACGGTTTGGTCTTACACCATAGGCATTTAAAAATACTTTGGGAACAAATTTTTTAGACATGAATCGCGGAAATGAAGTGGATACGATAGGGAAACTAAAGTATGGCAGAAATCAGGGACACAATTGTAACGGGGAAATTAGTAATGCACCCAGACTGTAGTTAGAGTAGTTATGCCATTTCACGGTCAAACAGTCGGTGCGAAAATCAAGCCAGAAGATTTGGACTGTATCGTGAGGATTCACACAAGATTGGTGGCAAATTAGACAGGTTTAGGGTACCCACTCCATGTTTACTGATTAATGAGTCCAATAAAATCGAACAAAGGATAATTTAACCTCACGACAGTTTACATATTTTGGCGCTAAAACAAGTATCACAGTAGTAACGACACAGTACGAAGGTTTTAAGTCCATGATCAGTAGCCCCAGAACCTTTGGTGAAGATCATTGCAAATGTGAGCAGAAGCGAATCAACCGGAACATGGCTATCTTGGACTACGTCAAAGAACACTTCCTTGTATAGTAAATTAACGCATGTCAGAAAACAGAAGAGAATAAGCAAAGTACGTAGAAACGTGAGATATTTAAGTAAATAGCAACACAGCTAGGAATAATTTCAACACCCTAAACCTGGTACACATAGAACAAAACGCAGAATGAGAACTGTTCAAGGAAAAGCAAACAGCCAGAACCTACGTGTGATAAAAACAAAGAGGCTTATTGGTAATGATTACAAACAAGAGAATTCAGTGCAGAAACCATTGGCGACATTAACAAAAACGCAGAAGTTCCACAGGAGTTGTGATTTGGAAGCTCAATCACGCATCGGTAACAAGGAATACAAATTTTAACACGACAGACTCACGAAATGTAGACGACCACGTCAGCTTGACGGTCCACTATCCGTGTCCATGTGCTGTTCCAAGGAAGTGGAGGTTTCGACCCTCCATCTGTTGATTTGGTTGACGGCTTGGGATGAAGGCCACCTGTGGAAGCAGCAGTGATTGGAGGGGAGGTGACAGCAACACCGGAATAATTGCGGCGTTGTACAGCTCGACTTTTAGCAGTTGTAATTGCTTGGCCATTGCTACCGGCAAGTGTTCCAGCTGCCGATGCAGCGGCGGAGAGGAAGACTTCTGCTGCATTTGACAGGGGCTGCTGGTAAGCTATAGCTGCCGCTCGTGCGGCAGCAGCGTAAGAGGCCACGATTTGATCCGGAGGGCTTTTGCTAGTCACTTTTGATGCCTAAATGACCCCATAAATAAATCAGCTAGCAAAAAATTCAAGGAAGCTTATTTACGAATGGCCGAAAAGTAAGGAGACCAAAACGTTTGACTACCAACAGCGGTTGTAATAGAGCACATAGCAAACAAAGGGTACCAGAAGCGCGCATTGAAAGCTGGAGAGAAGCGGCATGCGAACACAGCGTTGCACACAAGTAAAATCTAGTTATTCGTGCGAGGTACAGCATAGGGGGGTTACGAACACTGGGTGCGCGTTGGCGATAAACTCTACCTGTGTGTGTTAGCAGCAAGAAGGTTGTATTGCTGGTGGCGGAAGAGGGTGACGTTTGAAGGCTCCAGCTGAAAGAACAACACCTATAGGACTGAAAAACATTTAAAAAAACGCACGCACAAAACGCGCGGAACAGGGGCAGTGGGTGCGTGTGGGCGCGAGACGATTGAGTTGGATCTGAGCTTACTTGTGTGTGTTTGTGCTCCAGGAATCAAGAGGAGAGGCGATTGACAGCAGCCTGAAGACAAGAAGTGTCAGTGGGGAAAACAAAACCCAAAATAAACCAATGATAGAGAAAGACCATGCAGTGCGTTAACATATGGATTGTAAGTACAAAAGGCAAGCAGTAAGTCTGAAGCATGCTGCACACCAACGTAGGATCCATGACCAAACTCATTACAACAACCTTTAGAAATGTTCTCGGCCGTTGACGTACTCAAAAAACGTGGTTGAAACCGGAATGAACGTGCAGAAGATGGCTTAATATAAAATATTTAATCAAAAAAGTAAACAAAAGTAAGCTGATAGTCATTAAAAAGCAAGCGTTTTACAACGAGGTATTTACGATGTAGAAGAGGCCTGTGAAGCGTAAATGAATGGGGGCTTACATAGTGCTAAACGACGAACTAGAGAACATCGATAAAAGCGACCCGGAACTACTTGTGATCTCCCCAAAAATCATTTACCTTTTGAGCCGAATGTTGCAAAAACGATCGCACCTAGAAAGGTTTGAACGAGACCCGGATACTGAAAGCGGTGACCTTAAGCGCCGAAGGTTAGTGTGCGGCAAAGCATGCAAATGGTGCAGGCATAAATTACACAAACGTAAGTTAACCGAAGCTTGAAAAGCAAGCATTTGAACCAACGTTAAAGGTATAAAAGACAACGTGACAATAGCAGAAAGGTTCATACCCGGGAAACAGCATTGCTGCTATTATTTCCATAGATAACGGGAGCGCGAACTATTGTATGAGCGTCGGAAGATTCTTGAGATGTTGCAGAAAGGTCACTGATTGGTCGGTAAAAAAGAAGACTTGGATTAAAAACTGGAACCATCGGGGATAGACTGAGATGAGGTATGTGTGGGCTCATTGAACCACTGGCAGGGAGACCATTAATAAACTGGTTTGATTGAGGTAGTAAGTAGGACGAGGCGGCGGACAGATATGGTGCAGCAAGGCCGGCATGGGCAGAAAAAAGTAGAGAGGATATGTCCTGTGTTGGAGCAATGGTTGCCGCCTCAACGGGAAGACCCAAGTTAACACCCAAAAGCGCATTTAATCCAGGAACTGAGGGAAGCTGACCGTAGGGTAAATAACGGGGAAACATGCTTTCAAAGCACGAGTCTCACTGGAAAGCTGAAAGGTAAAATTTTTATTAACTAATACGCACAAAATTGGTTAAATATGCGACAACAGTACTCAATGGGTCTAAATTGTCCACCAGACTCTGTTGAAGAATCTAAGCATTGAGCACACACTTAAAGGGTATTTGACATCGAATTTGGCATGAAAACAAAATTCATTGGTAAAAAAGCAACTTGAAGTAGTTGCATAACAGTTATGATGGCAAGTTTACTTGCTTAAGTACCTACAAGTTTTCTCACTTTGTAATTTTATGGGGTAGCATTCGTTTTAAAGGAGCAGTAGTCCCTGTTACTACAGTTTACGCAAAACAATTGAATAACTTATTTGAATGCATCAGGGTAATAAAACTACCTCAAATGAAAGGAGGCACAAAGCTACAAAGGCAACGCCAAATAATTTTTGGGAAATATGCGATGTGTCTGTTGTACAAATCAAACGACATCTTTTAAACACTTTCACTGTGGCCTGAATTTAGGAAATATTTTGCACACATATGCATTAGGTTTAAACCTTTAATTTGTTTTTTTTGCGTTTTATTGATCAATGAAACATGTCACATGCAGCTCACATATTTATGTACTTAAGAAATTGCAAATAAATAAAGGTTTTACAATATCTGTTCCTATACCTTTAGTGAGAACTATAAGAATATGTATACAAGTAATGAAGTTGGAAAATTGACATCTCTTTACAACTTGGACTTGCCGCAACATGATGGAAGCCTAGTATAAATGTCATTCGTGTTTGCTGAGAAATTTTTGCCGATTTCTCAGAACGGCCATGCCTAATTGTTGACTTAGTTTCAACAACATCGTTATTTTAATTTTGGTCTAACAAGCTTCAAGAGAACTGGATTTTCTTCCAGTGATTGTTTAAAAAAGTTCTCTTTGGCAACGGTTTGTAACATGAGACCACAAGCCTACGATGCAAGGTTTTATATACTGTAAGTTAATTTAGCTTCATTCATAATCCCTTTGATGTGAACTCATATGTTTGGTCGTAGGGTCATTATAGAATAAATCTGTTGAATAACTACTGAATACCACTTTAAGACAATCTTATTGGATAAGTGGAGGATTTAATTTTAGTTGATTTAAAGGTTCGAAGACTAATTCATTTAAAAAAGTAGTAATGCAACGCATTTTACCTTCATTAGATTCTGATCTTTTTAAAACCATGAGAGTAAATGAAATTCATTAGGCTCAAAATTAAAAAGTACAATGTCTAAATTTAAAATCCTTGATGACGATGTAAGTCACGTGACAACTAACCACAATGCCTCACTGAGTTCAATGACGCCACGTCTTAGAACTCCCATTTAAGTGAAGTGACATACCACATAACATATACTTTACACTATCAATGGCTTACTTATACCGAAAATTTTAAATTGCAATTGACATTCATTTTTGGGAATCAGCATGGATAAATGTCATGCTGTGCTTTAGTTTGCCCTGCCCTGAGATAAATTAATTGACTAAAAATGGAAAAATGTTCTTTTTTGAAACTGGCAGTGAAATGGCTTTGCATTCTAATAGTTAAAATCTAAACACCGTTTTCATTTTGGTATTGACACTAACTAGTTGTTTTCCCAAATCCGAAGTGTGCAATCAGAACTTGATGGGAGACTTCTCAGTGTGAACATTACCGGTAATATGACATACTTTCTTGAACCCTCCGAATTCAAACGATGTAACAGCTATTGATGGACATTTACAAATGGTTGAGCACACTTATATGTAGATATAAAGTGGTGATGCCTGATCTAGCCACTGCACTACTACCGTTTCTCGAGACATGATCTAGCAGGGACAGTTTCAGCGATGTGACTTGAAGAGCATGGTTCGCAACCAATTAAGTACTTTTGTTATAAATGCACTTATTTAGAAATAAAACTCATAGGTTCTAATGGATTATGCAATCTCGATTTAAGGGATTTTTCATTTTGTGGCTGGAAGTAATAGCCATGTGAAAGGCACAATCCATGGCGTTCGTGCCTTTCCATAGTAGCTGAACTTAATTTCCTTTTACCGAAATTATTTTAGGCCGTCATCGTTAAAATATTCTTTGCCTGGTAGTTTTAGCATTCGTGCTTACCTTAATATCCTTTTAGATGACGGTGAGTTACTGCATAATCAGATAAACTGCATCAACGAAGTCAAATACTTGGTCGGACTTTATGGAAATTTGGACGAAATACTGGGAGATTCCATTGACAGCCCAGGACAAATGGTGTAGAAGCTAGTACATTTAGGAACCGAGAGCTAATTCGTCTTCCACTCTTTACACTCACACTTGTCAAACAATAAAATAACAAAACAAGTATGTTATTCATTCTTCTGTTTGTACATAACGTTGCTGCTTGTAGGCAGTAGTACAAGCCCAGTGTACATGTAAATATTCTTGTTATTCTTTTTAGTTTGGATTCATTAGGATATTTCAAAATCAGACATTCAATCAGCAATGAAATCAGTTACCTCTTAAAAGAAACGTATTTAAATAGGGGTCTTATGATCGTTCACTAAGTAACAGACAATACTAAAAATATAATGATTTCCAGTCCTAATTACTGACGGTAGGCTCTCAGAATGAAACCCATATGCTTCATTCGGCAACCCAGCTCTCATTTGTTTATAGGGAACAGGATGTGGACCTCACTTCACTTCGTGTCATGCTGACATTAACCGTTTCCAAGTTTCGCCGATCCCATATATCAGGATGATGTAACGCTTTGAACAAGTCGTACTGTTGGAGCTTGATTGTTGAGTTGGACCGTAATCATTCTTTTTCGAATGCTTCAAGCTGCATTGACTCATTGCAGTATATTCCTTGGGGACCTATGGGCAGTCTATTTGTGAAGCCCCTCCTTCATCTACTGAAAAAATATTAGGTCGGATTATTTGCGAAATAAAATCTACCGTTCATGCCTTCTCTTAATGCACAGTCCAACTTCCACTCCCTTTGAGGTTCGAATCCATGATTATATTTCCAAATTTATAATCAGTATTTATCACGTGGACCTAAGTAAGCTCTTTTGGTGTTGTTTGCTGGGTTTCGAATTTACCATTCTTTGGTTCTCTGTAGTTTGTTTAAATTACATCACATGCGACCAACTCATGTCCATGAAAACCTGATCAAATTTTTAACCTGAATTTTGTGAACAGTCACCTCCTCTTTACTATAAAAGCGTATGTGTTCCATGTCAACAGGAAAGCCTACATACATTCAGATGGGTGGTGTTTTTTTCATCTTTAAGCTAAAAGGACGTCATGTTGCATTTCACTTCAAAAATTTCACCCACCTTGTATTTTGATCGATCCCTCAAACCCTCATGAAATTTTCTCTATGTGGGATCACCACTGGGCTTCTATTATGTCCAACGTAGAATTCTTTAAAGATAATACCAGAAATCGACTTATTTATTGTTTTCGCAGTAACTTTTGCGTTGATAATCGATTCCCACACGAAAGATCCATAATAATCGATGGTAAAACGGCTCACAAATGACAGAAATCGGTCACAAGTTGATCTTTCGTAAATCTAATGACTGAATTTTGTGTAATGACTTTGGTTTTTAACCGAAAGTTAATATTTTGATGTCTGACCAAAATAAACAGATGTTTGCGCAAACGTTTGGTAATAAATTGTTTTCAGAGAGCACAGGTTTTTAACTAGGGACGCTTTAAAGCGAAAATTTTAGCAGATAGGTCAATTTGTATTCTGTGGAGCCGTGCTTAATTTGATTCAATGGACCACCAATTCCTCAACAAGGCCACAACTGGTCAAAAAAGCTGGTTCTGTGAGAATGACTTAAGGATCTGTTTTTTTGGTATGAAAATATGGCGTTCAAAGCGTCAAGGTTATTTTAGAACAGCACTTATCTCGATAAGTAGTAGTAAATCATAATTTGCTGCTAATAAGCATTTCAAAACACATCTAAAAGTTCGACCGTCTATTGGGTCGCGAAGGCACCACTTAAATCTGCTGACTTGGAATTAATTTTATCAGGTTACATATCTCGTCGTATCAAAACCAACTGTAAATTTAGTTGTCTTTCAGACTAGATTAATGACATCGGCAAGCAGACAACGATCAATTTGAGACCATTTACACTAGTTATATTTAGGGGAATAAATTGAATTGTCTGAAAAATATAGATGCCTTAGCATTAAGACCATCGTGACATCCCAAATCCTTCGATTATTTTTTTCTAGTGTAGAACCATTCATTTTCTATTTGATGTATTAGTCCGTCTTTTAACTAATTCTACCAAAATGATTTGAGTTTAGATAAACAACACTTTCCTATTAGTCATGGATACATAAACACGTGTTTGTCCAGTAAATGTAAGGACTTTTAAAATGGGGTACTAATAATTTTTGAGAAACGAAATCTACTCGTTTTATGCTTCAGAAAGGTCATCATTGTAATAAAGAAGGATTTCGGGAATAAAGTCGTCAACATTCAAGAGCAGCTCCTCTAATTTCTTATCTTCGTCCGGAATTCCGTTATCAGCCAAAGTTTTATTCATATCCAAGACCTCGTTATTGTATTTCCATGTGTAAGAAGCAGCGTGGGCATTACATTGTAGATAGCGCACCAAAATGTCCAACATCGTTTCTTCTGAACAGACCTGAAAGATAACGTCGGGAAACCCATAAATACTCTCGCTCATCAAATAAATTCGACAGTAGTATTTGAATAGTTGAATTTGTAACTAGCTATAGGAAAATTATTATAATAAAATCCACTAAAACGTTGGAATGCATTTTTGAAATTAATAGTTTGTTATAACATCATAACAAGTTGGTCGTTGCAAACAGAAATTAACACATAATTTCACTCAAAGAACATATTGATCTTAGTAAGCTAAAAAGTAGCTAAAAAAGTAGTACATGACCACAAGTCTTACCTCTATTGTATCGTCGAGTCTGGCAAGTGTGTTCACGATTCGAACACGTCTTGGCTTTTTCGTTAAACGGCCAATTATGTATGACTTATCTTGCCACCAAGGAGTGTCGAAATCATTTCGCCAATCAGTTGTTGGAAAAGAAGGCGGAACATGCAAAAACCGACCATAAGGGATATAGGGAACCCGACAATGCGTTATTGGGTCAATGTGAGTCCTTAAGTTGCCTGTTTTGGAGTCGAACCAATGTGAGATATCCGTACCCCCAGCCGCCAATATCGGCTTTAGCAGTATATCACCTAAAACCCAAAGGTGTGAATAGTTTATCTCAATGTTCCATTCCGTTCTACAATTTTGCACAAAACGCTGCAACTTAAAAAATTTGATAAACTGATTTATTTATTTACTAAACACAAACTTGGTTATTTTTGCCAGTTATGGACAGAGAGAGCGTTAATCTAATAATACAGTCATAAACATCCCAACGAGGTTATACTAAAAATGGCAAGAGCTATGTCATGAAAAATACAAGTGTGGGAAGGTAGCAAATATAGATGTGGTTGCTTGGCGCAAGTGCCACGCTGCCCCAAGCTCTCTCTCCTAAAGTTCATACAAAAAGGCATATATTAAATGAAGTGGCCCATTGTCTGTAGGTTTTGGCTTCTAAAAGTCTAGCAATTAGGGTCAGATCTCAATTTGATGGTTTAAAAACGGGTGTTTTTTTCCTCTGCATCGAATAAATGCAAGAATATATTACGCATTTGTATGATTTTGAACAAATATTAATATGAAATACCTTTGTGCAAACTACATAAAAGAGTCAGGTCACACACGTTTCCCAAAATTGAGACCCATAGATCAGTCTCCGTATTATGCAGCGAAACCTCAGTCGGTGTGTAATACCTAACCGAGGCCATTCATGTCACCACTTATTCGTTGCCCACGAACAAGTAGATTAAAACAAAGTCACCTCGCTGATGCCTACTGTTTATTGTAGATGTTAAAAAAGCTTTTTGCACAGCCAATTTTTGGTATAATTTTGATATTTAAACTAAGTTTTATATCTATTTGTTGTACTAGTAACTATTCCCCCTCATATTTTCGACTCTATCAATAATTGTGTACGCCCAAAACATTAGAAAAAAGATGTCATTTGAACTCATTATCTAAAATTTTTGTATCTGTTCATAATAGCTTGCAATTAAGGCTGGTAAATTTTTGAATTTTTGCATTTCTGCAATTTTGATTAATTTAAAAACTCCTGTCGAAACCATCACATTCAATGAGCAGATTTGCTGAGCCACCAACTATATTTCATGCCATGTCATGTTGCTGTATGGTCAGGAAATGTACGCTTAGATAAAAGGTTAAGATAGGCTTTTTGAATTGTAGAAGTTGACACATCCCAGTGGCGTATTTCATAATATCATTTTTAATGCCTTGTTAAAGTTTCATTTCTGGTATCTTTGTTGAATAAAATATCCATGAACCTGCATTTGATACTTGTCGCATGCTGATTATATTTTAGGCTGCATAATGGCCGGCTTTTTAGAGGTCATGCTGCAGGTGTTTATAAATTATACTTATGGTCAGGAGGTACAGAAGTTATATGTTCATTTCGAGCTTAAAATCAATAGGTGGAACTGGCGTTTATCCTATAAATCAGTAGTTTAAGAGCGACTTTAGTAACACTTCACGGAAAATGGCACCGCACGTCGAAAGCGCGAACCCTTGCACGTGTTATTTTTAAGCGGAAATCTTTCGATGTCCGCGATTTAATGCTTTCAAGCACAGCAGAAAATTAAGTCAAGTGAACTGTGTGTCAGTACCCAGTTACTCAACATTGGGCTTTTAAAATTTGAGTTGATATTTTGAATTTTTAGATTTAGCCAAGACTCCAAAATAACTGAATTGGATTGATAAGTTACGTAGTAATTTCAAACACGTGATGTTTGTCGTATTTGCACAACTTAAACCATAACAGGGTAAAAATATCGGTGTAACCCATTATGGATATTTAAACTCCACAATTCAGACTATTTATTATAAAGTTTTAGATAAAGCAGCCAAAACTCTCTTAGGTGGCTATCAGAATTTAAAAGGTCATTGTTGAAGTCTAGACCACGAACCGACTTCACAGTGACCTTGTTGTGGCAGATATGTTTTGTCGTATATATTCGATTTCATAAAATTTGTCGCTAAAACGAGCCTGAATATAGAAATTTACGTTAGCGACATATAATAAATAGGCAAAATTTTGAATAAGTAGAAAGTATAATAATGTCCCTTATGGTTGAAGTAAGCTGGGGATCACAATTATCACCAATTTTCGCTTAGAACTAAAGTCGGTTTTTCTTAATCTTGCTTGAAATTTCTACAAGCATTACTTCTTATTGTGTAAGCTGTCATTAACTTGATTACAATTCACTGATTTATCTAAAAATGAAATAACATTACTGCCTGTAAAAAACTGTTTTTGGTCAAACTTAAAAATTTACTCTATCAGTAAGGGTTAGGTCTGTTGGCTCGATTTTTAAATACACTAATTTGGGTTTAGATTGATGCAGTTGATGCGTTTTGGAGAAAGGTAGAAATTACTAGTTTGCAAAATAACTTCGTTTAGGTGCGTGTCGTGTTTGTGCTGGTGCCATTATACGTAATGTGGATTAGTAAAAGTGAGTGTGTGTGTGTGTGTGTTTGAGCGTCGTTCATTTAAAAAAGAAAACCTGTTTAAGTTGGCAAGCGAATTGATTAAACTTAAGAACAGTTAACTGGGAAGGGTGTCATCAATTTTAAATTGCACGAATGCGGATGTTTAGCACAGCCAGCCAATCAATTAGCAAAATTAGAGAGCACCAGGCTTGCGCTTATGTGTTTATTTGGTTAAATGGTGGAGACACAAATTACAGAACAAATGGGAAATTGTGCATATGACAAATTCGAACGGCAGACTAGATATCTTGACGAAAAACCACGGATTTGAGGCACCTTAAGCAAAGTACTGCACCATCGATCTTTTACGGTAGTTTAGGATCGAAGTATTCTTCGACAAGTAGAAGTTTAATTCCCTCTAGCACATTTGTGGCTTCGAAACTGGGCAATATGAGATCTGTAGCCCCTGTAAAGTCGCGGTGACAGTGCAGAGGCTTCGAACGCCGTAGTTCACGATCACCAGGCTTGTAAACACCGGTTTGTACGAGAATAGCTTAAAAGAAAAAAGGATAATAGAGTAGATATCATTGCAAACGCCTGTTATACACCCCAGTGGCAAAACCATGATCGATTGTGAAAAAAATGAAGGCTTCCCTTCACAATACCATCCCTATTTTGCCTAAACTCCACAATTTGATCTCAACACTTGGAATTGAGTGTGCATAAACTACACTGGGTGACTGATTTGACCACTTATCGGTGCCAGTTTTCCTTTAGCGTCTTTTAGGAGGAGAAATTTCCACAACGCTTACATTCAACTCCGCGCGCAGTTTGCGGAAGAAAAGCGGCATCCGGAGGCACGGTGCGCGACGAAGCGACAGCAGCCTTTTTGTCAAGTTGCCCCTGTTCCGGGGCCGAGACTTCGCGCCCTCCCGACAACCGTCGATAGCGGCGGAGGTACATGTTGTATAAGTTAGCGCCTAAGATATCCACTTCCGGGTTGTCTCTAAAGTCCAAACAGATGACTTAAGAATCACAGCTTTGTCACATACCATTACCTAAGTCTACTAGTTCCGTTTGCTACAGGTATGAAGCGCTTAAAGACAAGTGTGTATTTTTAGTTTCCTTACCTGTGCTTGATGCAAATATTGACGCTTTTAGGGACAATTTAAACAACACGAAAATGTCCTCTTCCGGTGTAAAGCGATTGATGATAGGTTCTAACCGTTAGTGACTAGAGTCAAAGGAATCGAGATGTTACAGGACTGACTGGTAACACACTGTTTACTGTGAACACCATTCAAAATGAAAGTCTCATTAATGCAAAGACAAGTAAAACGCATTCGTAATGATAAACATCGGGCACTAAATGTCAACATCTACCAAGTGCCGCCAGATAGTAGATGCTGACCAAGGGGGTGATCTCAATGCAGCCAAACGAATGGATCCATCAGAACTGTACAGCGGCATTAACATCGTTGTGTACATACCCAAAGAAGTAAATCTTCCTTAGAGGCCGTGTGATGCCCATGCGTTTGGCAGTTTTGCTCAGAATATGCTCGGAAAACCGGTAAGTAATTTCGCTTGGCTTGCCAACCAGGGCTGTGTATTTCAATGGGTAGCCCGTGACTCGCTACAAGTAGGCAAAGCAAGAAGTCATAATAGCTGTTAGTTTGTTTCGTCAATGGAATAGTGTTAATTCAAGCAACCGAAAACAATCCTGCCCATTTCTCAGCTGTTTGTAAACAACATTATCTAAATAAACATTTATGTATTAATCTTACATCAATCTCCTGTTGGTTTTTGCAGTTATCGCCTGGTGCACGCTACCTACACACATTAGAGCTGGTATTACGTATGGCGAAACTGAATATTTAAAACAGCATATTCAGATATTAAGTAGACAGTGAACATAGCTGGAAGTAGCTGCAAATATTCCATTCGAATGTAACCACTTTAACTTTTTTCAGATTACACTTCATTCGACCTCCGGTTGTTTGTTATGTAAAACACACCTCGTATAGTGATTCCAAGCAGACAAGAAATGCTCCATGTCCGAACCTAAAAGCCAAAAGTTAAATACTGTTGTGTACACTGTTGAATTATTTGAAGGTTGAAGGGTCAAAAGAGATAAGAACACGACACGTTACCAAAATAATCGTGTGCCAAGTAGAAGACACATGTAGCACTGCAATGCAATGCTACATGAGCCCTGGGTTTCTTAATATCGAGAGGACTGGGATTCGAACTACTGGTGATTATATTTTAATAATTTGTTTTGTCAATGTAAATAAATATTTACCAGGCTCCATTTAAATGCATTACTTCTTAACCAATCCTCAATTACATTAAATTAAAATTACAGAATTGCATAAACCTACCAACATAGGTGCGAAAACAGTAGCATTAAAACTTTAAAATAGCCCACATTGGGAACTAGAAATACTCTGCATCCGAAAAGAACAACTTCGAATGTCGAATAAGGCGCGGTAAAAGGTGTAATTGGAAACGCTAAACAAGGCTACTGCAATGGTTTGAAAGCTACACTAAGAGGAATGGACGGGCAGATTTATGTGGGATGCTTGTGGTGTTCGTGTACATCTTTGCCTGGCACAATATACATTGAATTAACGGGCTGTTAAAGTTGATAAAGTACTGCGAGAATATGCGCTGCAATGGTGACAAAAAAAAGTGTTTACGCACAAGTGCATAAATATACCAAGGTTAAAAGTGTAAGCGAAGTTTATGCAGGTCGTGAGTCTAAATTCGATCAGTCATTGGAGCAAGAGAGGGAAGAGAGTGAGGCTGTACCTGGGCATACAGGCCTGTGCCATGAACAAGAGATCCATGTTGCAGGCTAAAACTGGCAGGTGGCTCTTTGGCATCACGTCGGGTTTGTGGTCGGGCTTTCCATTGGTCAATAACAGGTCTATGAGAAGCTGTAAGTACATTTCCCATTGAATAGGCTCGCCCATCAGCACAATAGCTTGAAAAAAAACAAGCAACGCAATCACTGAACTTGTGCTATTTACTTGTATGAAGTTATTGTGTTACATGATATTCTCCTAAGAAAACAATTTACACCTAAACAGAGTGGCAAATGTGTTATCGAATCCTAATTTATTTCAAAAGTATGAATAAGTGGGACAAAACTGTGTTGCCTTTTACATTTTGAGCATTTGCTGTTAGATTATGTAAAGTGGAATGCCCTCCATTCACCTGCGTTTGTTTATAAGACATAAGCTTCGACTACATCTGAGCCAAACCACTTAATGTCGACCGGCAAACGCATGAGGCCCCGTGACAAAGGGCACTTGGTGCTAAGATCGACTTTGATCAATAACTCGACCAGGACCGACGCCATTATTAAGCTTTAATAAGGGTTTCATTGACTGCAGAATTTCGCTCAAGCCGATTCGCTGTCAAAACAAACACTAGGGGCTTTGTAAGTTCACTGGTCTCCTCGCAAAAGCAATGCATGTAACGAAACTTAAAACCTCAATAGCGCTAACCTTCAATTTGAGGAAAGTCATTGTTCTCTTTGTATCCTTTAGCCTAGGAAAAGATTTAGTTGATGATGTTAAAGACTATTAATTAATTGGAGAAATACTAGTTTTTTAGCAAGTAATTTGTGTAGAAATTAAATTATCCTCACTAGCCAATGAAACACAATCATTTAGAATTTTTGACTTATGCTGACGCACTATGTTGATATAAGGCAAAATCGTGTGGGTCTCCATTAAACTCGCTGGAATAGAGTGTTAGTATTTGTTGTTTCCAGGATTTGTAGAAGGCACACCACCAATCTCCCAGTAAATCTAGAATGTGTCCAGATAAAATATTACCATGAGGCATTTTTTTATCGTTACAAATCTCTCAGAACTTTTTAATCCCGAGTTGAACGAAATATATACTCTCAAGCTCTCCATATTTTCACATGAAATATCCTACTGATAGGTAATAAGGTATTGAGTCAATAGATGGTTATACAAGAAGCCTGAGGCTACAAATTCGAATAAGCATGTTTTAAGCCAAAGTAGTCAGGCAGCGACTATTTCGTTTGATCTGTTGATCGATTCAGCGTTCAACCTAGAGGTGAATATGCCAAACAGACAGCAATATGCGAAATAGGAAAGTGGCAAGAAGGGAGCGCTCTCTTACCACAGTCTTTCGGTTGTCGTGGTTCACCATGTCGAGGAGAGGGTAGGCCTCGGCGACTTGCTCCATCGTGTAGACGCACGTGAAGCCGAGACCCTCGGCGATCGCCTTCATGTCCCCCTGGCCAACTACCAGCACGCGCTTGTCGTGCCAGTGCATGAAGCTTTGGAAGGGGCTGGGAGCGAAGATCACTTGCTCGGGTTCGAGCTGCACGGGGCGGAGAAACATTTTGCACGACTGTGCTCAAAACCCGCGCACCAAAGTATAATTACAGCATCAATTTTCGTGGTGTTTAAAAAGGCTGTAGCGCCATTTCTGGAAGTGATCAGTGAAAAAATTGGACTTTCTAGGGCCACCGTTTTCCCGACGGGCACAGCATGTTGCGAACAACCACATAGTTCCACGAGTCTGGTAATTCGAGGGTTCAAATCACGAACCAGACTTAGTGAGGTGCCTTAGACCAGCCCGCATTTTACGACTGTGATTTCAGTATCATTTAAATATCGACCATCAGATGGAAGAACCGCGATTTTTCACCAAAATCCGCCCCAAGTAAGCAGTAATTCATGTCCGCCCACTTGGAATTTGTGCAAAAACAACCTACGCACACGTTGTTTTTAAAATAGTTCATTCTTGATAACAACCCGGATGCCCTGGAACGGGAATCGACATGTGACAAAGCCAAAGTGTAAACAAACGACCAAACACCGAGACACTTCTCATGCTTTCGAACAATGAATATACATTCAGGTGGAAACAAAGCCGACTTGCAGTTTAAACTACGAAGTAGGCTAGTGAAAACTTCGTGCATAATCCAAACAAATAAGAAGGAAAGGTTTGAACAGGGAATCCTCAGTTAGGACTCTGAACCACCCATAAAATTGTTTGCTGTTGAAATGCCATCAAGTACGATCACGATGTAGGTGAGGGGAACTTAGAAATTCAGGTATGGTGAGGAAGTTGCATTTCTGCAGGGGTGTTGCACCAAACCTAGTGGAATCAGAGGTGGTGGAATCAACTAGCGACCGACCATGAAGCAGTATTCACTGTTTTAAAGATTTACTAAGGCGAATCGGGAATTCAAGAGAGAACCACAGCCACTTAGCTCAACAGGAGAACACTTCCTGCATCGAAGGAAAGTACAATGTAGTAGAGTATTTCTAAAAGCCACCTTTTAAAACATGCACTAAACGGCAGGTCAACGTACGTCAATTTTAAAAATGGACGATAGCTGGTCAACCTTTGCCTGGGCGTCGCCGCAAGCGTTGGTGACGAAGGCGATCGGAACCCGGAGTTTGCCATTGCGTCCCTTCAGCAGATCCATGGCCAGGATGGCCTCTGGAATTGGGGTGGATCCACGCAAAAGAACACCGTCAATGTCGAAGAGCAGTCCGAAGTTGGGCTTTGACAGAAAACACATCGAAAAAAATGCATAAAATGTTATCGTTAGTGCTAATTTCTCTCCTTCGTAGCTGCCTAATTTCAACTACCCTTTTTTATAAAAACACCTGTTATCAGGGTATGGTGAACGTTCCCGCGACTACAGTATGTTTCATCAAATAAATTAAGAATTTGTTGATTTTAAAACCTATGTACAGCTAAGATAAGTTCGAGTCAAAATGCGGAGGGAATTAAACTCAGTTTTTTTCTAGCATCATTCTGTTACACGCAGTGCATCGTATATCTCATTCGTAAAACTGCAGAAACAGGGAGTCTTAGGAATTTTTGTTTAGAAATGTTCACACAGTCTTTAGTCAATAGTACCTCGCCAAAAATTTGATGTGGAAACGTAATTGAATGACCGCAAACCAAACTACCGAAATTGTCATCATCATCTTTGGTGGTGGCCAAATTAATCCACTATAAACTGCAGTTCTGCACGGGATACAAGGAATCTGGCATTGTAAAACAATGTAAAAACACTAAATGGCAAGTTCAGAATCAGGTGCAACTGAATCCTGAAGTCAAAAACGACAAGGCTTATGCAAAGTACTGGAAAAATTGTCAGCTGCTGGTAATTTTTAGGTAAACAACATACCTCCTTCTGCTTCAAGCCTAGCGGGAAGAAATCGTGCTTTTCATCAGTATAACTATCCGTACTAATGATACTGGCTTTGCGAATGTCGAGCTGCTCGGGAGAGGGAATAGCGTAGAGGTCGGACAGCATGTCGTCCATTGTGGCGAATGAGAAATTTAGCTAGAAATATTTGTCTTTATATTCACTCCTTCGAGTACGTACGCGCGACCGATTACACGGGTGTAGTAAACAGCACAGGCATGACACACCTTGCAGATCTTCTGTTTACATATGATTGAAGTGCCCGGTCCCGCATCATTAGCTTGGGACGAGTCTCTGGTTAGCAGGTTACCTCGCAACGGCTTCAGGCCAGGGATATTAGGGTGTCTGCACTGGTAGAAAGATGGGCCTAATCTCGAGATACATTCTTATTGATTTATTAGTGATCCATCATATTAGTGGTCATATATCACCCACCTATTACTAGGTGTTTCTGGATTCGAGTTGTATATCGTGTAAATTCAGTTATAGACTTGACGGCAAAAATTAATTATTGGTTGGATCCCTTGGAAATAGCTCGAATACGCAGATTACACTGATTATTTTCGTTCTACACCAAAAAATCACCAGTGCGAATACATCTGGTGAGATTAACACCGTCGCACCTTAAATGTACTTACTTGTCCGAGATATTTTAAATGTTTTTAAATTTGAATTAAAGAATTGTCACGTTCTCAAACTGGTGGCTTCTCTGAGTGCTTTCATCTTCAACAACAAAATTTCCAGGCGAAAATTGCGAAAATCAAGTTCGAGTCTGATGTATTGGCTCCATCATACAAGTTTTACGAAGGTGGAATTTCGCAATCGTTGACGCCAAATCAAAGGGAAGGCTTCTGCATGAAGTAGGTCTTATTTCCATGAATTTACGAAGGCAGCTGCAACTTCAGACCACGCATTACACCCATGTTCTCAAAAACCAAATGAATGATGATAGTTTTCGCCTGTCAGGTTGTAGCGGAGGGCGTATAGCCAGTGACAGTCAGGTTAATTCAACCGCGGTTCATTGGCATCGCAAACACATGTTATAACTGTACCTCAAAAATTAACCCTATCGGTTTGCGGGAGGTGTAGAATCTTATAGGCCGTTGGTTATCCATAAAATTACTTCGAAATCAAAGTGCTGGATATTATGAAGTGCGCCTTAAGTGGATCCCAGTTATGCGCAATATTTTTGGATGGATGTACACAGGTTATGTTTCGCTGCCAATTTTTTTTATGTGTGAATGTGTTAGTTTTCAAAACTTTGACTCTAATGCAATCAGTTAGTTCAAAAGCTGCTCGGCTACACGGAAGCTTTGGCCTCATCGCCAGATTGCGAAAGACAGGTTAATCTACATTTTTTTACATGACACAGAAAATCGCCATTGAGTTTTAGGTCTCTCCGACTTTCAAAACTGATATGAAATAGGTAGGTTTTACAAATTGTGTAAATTCACATCTCACCTGTCTGAAGTCACTGGACCAAACAGGGTTTCATCAAAAGATCGTGGAAATAAAATCTCAACTGATATAATTGTAACCCTCTCTTGTGACGAAAATTGCTTATTTGAATCCAGTTTAATACGTCTGAGTGAAAATAGCCAAAAAAACTTAATTAAGCACACGCAAATTTTCACACCTAGAGAGGCGACAAGGGGCTTCCGATTTGTCTGTGCGATTGCGAGCCTTTGTTTACGCAACTATCTCATTAACGCACAATTTTGGCGGGACCGTTTATAATTGAAAAAAACAAAAATGACGCTTGCACGCATTTGAAAGTGCGCACAGAGAAGAAGACCGCGTTCAGGCATCGCCGTCAGCCCCACGCATCAGGCCGTTTAACGAGTCAATTTCGCAGTAATGTGCTTAATGAAAAAGGTAAGATTTATGTAAGCAGGTCTAGCTCCAAATTTGTTGTGAAGCACTCGTTGGGAAATAACTTGCCAGGTCATTTGCAAGGGCTTTACTGAAGGTGGAAAGTCTACCCTTATCTCCGATCTAAAGATACTTAGGTGTGTGCACTGTTTCCTTTTAAGCTCCGTGTCTTGCCAATTTGCGGTCTATTCACTAAGTCACCTTAACCCTTCCATGAAGTGATGAATCAGTCTAATTTTCGGTTTCAAGACACCAATATAGTCTACACAGTTTCCTTATAAAAGTCGGCAAAATGTGGAGAGCGCTTTTCCAAAATAGATATGGAACAGCATGCCAGGTAGTCCCAACAAGATTGATTATCAGAAAGAAAGGCAAACACGCAGGGCCCAATGCCACAAAAACGAGGTCCGAAAGTGACTTATGGTTTCTAGGCCCACTCTTAACAAACCCAAGTCCATATTTTTCCCGTTCATTTATTTAGAACAGTCAACTGTTTACATCGAGGACATCACCTGGCTTTATAACAGCTAGGATTTTGGGCCGTTGGTGGTCGGGTAAATATCAAGCAGACCGCTGTATTTTGGTTTGCATAAGCAGTTAAAAGTCCGCAGTCTCCTGGAAAACGAGCGAAAATCTGGACCTGTAGGTTTCAATGAGAGATTTTAAACCAGAAGCACTTCTCCACCTAATAAACAGTTTCTCCCTTACAAGTGTAATCGTAGACAAATTTTCGTGAACTGCTGACGTCCGAAGGTTAATGCGAGCACCAAATTAGCAGAGACGGTTATGGGCCATAGCGTTGCGGAACTGTCTGTAGGGCAACTTGGCTACGTACATATTCTGTCTTCTGCCTTGTTTCACTTCAAATTAATTAGAATGCATGGCTTCACTCAAGTTCCTTCCATGTACTGCCATCATTTATGAAATCGTGACTTACAACCACTGCGAATTCCCTTTTTTCAACCAGACTATACAACCGCGAAGATTGTTTATTTAACGAACAAATAACTTCTGTTTACACTACTGCAGTCATTTCATTTAAAATGCAGGTTTCGCTATTCCTGGCTTGCGCGAACGGGGATGGGTATATGCGATTAGTAACATACGAGCTTCTGCACCTAATGCCCTGCCGCCTAATCGCTCACTTCTACGCACAGATGGTGATGCTCGTGTGACCTTGGTACTACGATGCTAGTCCTAGTGCTGTGCCCTTCCCTCTGGGGAAATGAACAAAACAGGTCAATTTTGGTGTCGTTAAGGTTTGGGCTCAAGTCACGCTCAAACTGTGATGCTCAACAAAATTTTCGAATCGCCTTCACCGACAACTAACGATGTAACGAAAATTCCTGTCTGCGGCCTTGGCAACAACAAGGAGTTAATTAATTTTTGGAAACTGGGCATTACGCAAAATTTGATTGAATCAAACATTAAGTGAGACTGTGGAAATGAGTATTTCCTCTTGTTCGCGGTCACCGATCCTGTACACTGACTCCCAATAGCACCTCTTTACAAAACAAACATAAAAAAAGAGCAATTAACTTCAGGGACACTGTAAACTATTCATTGAAATCTCGACAGCTCACTTAGGATTTTGTTTCAGCTAATGTAGGCCGACATAATTTAGTAATAAGTGCGGCAGCCAATTTTTAGTTTTTAAGAGATAGATGTGAAAGTAGGCACAGGAGTTTGGGTAGACGACCGATGGGGCAATTGTGGTGGCGTATTCTGGTCGCTAAAGTGCATTTCGCACGCACCTTCACTACGCACAAGAACAGCCTAGTTTAATGCGTGACCTCACAGCCATAAACACGTGGCACACAAATGTCGTACAGCACGCTTATCATACTCCCATACGCTGCCACCGCTAACAGGTGGGGCATTTGGTTCACTCAAATTTGCGTCTTCTGACAAACACAAACAGGAAGGGCGATACAAGTTGCCGATAGCTAAACTGCATGCTCCACAACGACGCCTGGAGAGGGCAGTGAGGCAGAATTTTGACTGAACGAAGCCACGGACTGACTACGTAAATCTTTTCAATGTACTTGAAAAAGCAATCGTGAGATTTCTTATCGAAGTATCACAAATCTTGCAAAATGATCGATTTATTTGCTGCAGGCACAGCCAGCAACCACCCAGGAAAGCCTACCTGCCGATGAATCCCGGAGACTCGGCCACGCCTATACGAACGGAGTGGAGCAGCTCCATAAGTCCAGGACTGGCATTTCAAGGCGTGAGAATAATTTGCAACATGTTTAATCTGGGGACACAAGTTCCTAAATGGCAATGATGACGCTGCGAAATCTCTACCTGCAGTGTTTCAGCCACCAGTACGCCATTTTGCGAGCGCGAGGTAGCGCGAAAAATGGCCAGCACGTTTGCAAACCAGGGCACGTGACCGATGACTCATCCCGAGCAAATCACTTCGCGGCTTGACCACGCCCCCATAAGCACTGGCGTGTCAGCCACCCATCCGCCATGCTCTTTTAGAACCTGTGGCGATGTCTGTGAATTCTAACTATGAGTTAATTCCGTGTCGTTCGAAGTGTGAGGCGTAACTTGCTGAACACAAGGTGATCAGAGCATACTCCGTCAAAAAGGCACTAAATCAAAACCCACTTGGAAACTTGCAGCAAGCGGTAAATTTACGAACATGACTTGAAAAATCTCTTTTCTATTGATTAGATCATAACAAACTGTGATAGCCTTAGGAACAGTGGACCTTGTGCTCACTGGAGGTTTTTAACCAAAACGCTTCTTCTGAATTATATCACGCATATCGTCCACCGGGATTCCGTTGCGGCTAAATAAAGTGTTTTTAATTATCGAGGTGTGATTAAACGGCTTTTTGATTTCGTCCAGTTTAACCATCTTTTTAAAGTACCATCCGTAGTCCCACGAGGTAGGATACTTGACAGCGTACTTGTCCTCTGGGTCCTTGAGATTCCTTAGCTTCAGATATTTGGCCCTTTTTGAAAAATAAAAAAAGGGAGAACGTGGAATAATTGTTAAATGTGTTAGAGTTAGAAGAAAACAACTAAACAATTACTAGTCCTTTAGCACGTCCCCGAGGCATCATGTGGATCGGAGCTCAGCAGCGTTTGGACAAAGAATCACAAAGTTGATTTAAGGGTTTGGTTGCAGGTGACAGAAACTGAACGCCAGGCGAAGTTGGCGCTCTGTTGGGCCTACTTACTCTCGATTGGGTGTAATCCACAAAATATCCAACTGAAGTGGCAGCAACTCAAAGACAGAAACGGTCAAATTAACCCACTCGGGTTGGCTCACGTGAGCTGCGGTCAGTCATGACCACGACAAGGCAATTTGTTAGCATGTCGGAATTGCACTATACAATTAAATCTACTCCCAACACACTGCAACATTCAAACCAATCAAATCTCGTTTTTTGAGAGTTTTAAAAATGAAGACTTAGGTAGCAGTAGTATTTGTGAATGATCCACTTTGCATGAAATACTTTTTCCAATATTCACTAGCAATGAGTGCTTAGTTGTAAAGTTAGTGCTGGTGCAGTGCTTCGTTCAATTTTACCACGGCAAGCATTCCAGCTCACTTAAACAGCACCTACAAGTGCAGTGGTCTTGAATTTAGCATTTGCACACGCATAAAACACTCTGGAACGGATATAAGTAAATTGCTCGGCAGTTTGCTCGTTTTACTTCAGTTCATCAGCTCATGTTTTGCCCCCAAATTATTGACAGCGATTTTTTCTTACTACCTTTTACCATTACGTACAAACCAGTCGCGTACGAACACACAACACGACTCCGTCCCCTGAACACGCCCTTGCCGGTCTGGACTGGGTTTCATTGAAGGCTTCGTGACACAGCAAGTTCGAGAGCGTGATTGAGCAAGTCTGTTGAGGGCCCCGGCATGTTACCTTGAACCATGCTGGGGCCACTGCGTCAATCTAGGCCGATTACGCTACCCTGTGTTCCCGCGAAAACAAAGAAGACCGGAGTGGAGAAGGCACAACCGTTCACTAGACCGCTCAACCTAGTTGTGCTGTGTTGACTGTACAGTTGAGCGGACTTGTAAAAATACGTCTGAATGGTCACATGGCTAGACCGGATGGTAGTGATACGTACTGAGGGGTTAATGAGCGGGCTGCGACGACCGGGTTATTGGACATGAATCAACACGATTCATTACAAATCCTTTCCATGAAAGTGCATTGCGTATACATCCGGCTATGCTCTTGTGGAGATCTGTTACAATTAGCCTATTTCGCACAGCAAATGTCTTATGGACCGATGTCTTCTGAGTGTTAAAATGAATCACGCTTCATTACGTTTTTCCCCATCTGCGAATGAATAGACACGTGTGGCCTTAGGTTTACATTTGCACCTAATACAGGAACTTTAGTCCAAATAATAAAAAAAACCATAATTCAGAGTCGAAAATCGCATTTGTAGGTCGTGGGAACCATTGCCAGCGGTTTCGATGGGAGCGACTAATTCCATGCTCAGTCGGAACAATTTAGCAACTAGAGCTTGTGGTGAATCGCGTTGATTCACGTCCATCAACCTGGTCGTCCCATACTCCATTTCGCCGCCGGCGGTCATGCTGGACCGTCCGCTCACAAACTCATGTGCATGTGCCAATCCCCACCACCCGCCTCACCCACCTGGCCACTCAGTCGTTTGTACTTTTACAAAATCACCCAACCGTGTAAGTCAACAACTGCCTTAGACATACGCGACTGTGAATGCGCACACACGACCACACAAATTGCTTGAGGCAGCGAAAAAAATGGCCGAGTCTTTCTGTCTCCTGCCCCATTACTGCCTTAGGTACCCCGAGCTGTATCGTGCCGCAACAAACATTTTATACTCGCTGAGACGTAGCGTGGACTCATCGTTTTTTATCGATTATCGACGGAGGCTCTAAGCAAATGCAAGGAATGGGCGTCTTTGAGGTGGATGCAGTTCTCACCACCACCACCACCACTGCTTCATTGAAAACCTGCTTGGAGTACACTCTGCAACACTGGATCAAGCTGTGTTGATTCACTTGACAGGGTCATGTTTCAAGCGTGACAATAACTTCGAAACCTCAAGTTTACTGGAAGGCGATCAGGCGGCAACTTGCCTCAGTGGAGACACGTCAAAAGCACACAAATCGTTATCGTTAACAAATAAGTGATGAAATACCTACTCTCCATACTTATAACTAGAAACCTTGTAATCACTTGGACTCAAGACGACAGCGCACAAAAACATGTTATTTGAATTTGCATTCATGACAGCGGATGCCTACGGTCACCTCGTGGATTGACTGAAGCAAGGCCTTCAGAGCACGTTAGACAATCAGCAGAAACGCTGTAATCTGCGGTAAATGAGACGAAGAATACCCGGCGACCTGTTAGTCAACTAAATTCAATGAACTGTCATGTTTTACTCAATGCAAGCTAGATTAAATGCCCTCTAACTGTAATGGCAAAACAAAATATTTTTTAGTCGTGACACGGCACTGGTGCTAACATTGCTATGGTATGTATATTTTCAGAGGAATTTAAAAGAAAAACTGACCTTCCGCCACCGGTGGCTGAAATGCCTTCGAACAGGACGGCCCTGGTTCTTGGCGAGGCAGGACGCATGAATTCAATGGATGGGAGGCCGTCCTTGCCTTCTTCGGTTGCTTCCAGGCGTTGAGTGCCTTTTTGACGTTCTCCGTCAGCCCCTGCCAGCCGTTCCTCTGCAGCCTTAAGAGCCTTGACGCATCGATCGTTTCGGAGTTTATTGAGCTCCAACTGACGGCGGATGAGCTTCGACGCAGTATTTAAGTTATCAGCTGAGCACAGAGTTTCCTTGTTATCGATGAAAAATTTGTAAGCCGCATCCTCTTCTTTTTTGATGCGCTCTTTGAACTCGTACACCGTTTTTATGGTTTCAATGCGTCGCGCCATTAGTGCTAAATGCGGAAAGGCGTGTGCATCCCCGTTCAGTCACGTGCATGTATCGATTTCCCGCAACATTACCTTACAACTTTCGGACACTGCCCATTCACGGTTGAAATTAAGACACTGCAAATGCCCTCATTTTCCATCTTTCCCGATTAGATTACTTTAAGGCAGCCCTAGTATGGGGTGCTTTGCTAAACATTTCCTTCTCTCCTTACTATCTTATTCTCTGTTTGATTAGTTTTGAATATGATAAGGTGATTAATCTAATATATTGGTAATAAATGAAACCTTTCTGCATGGCTCTTTTAAAAACAGCTCAACAGTAAAATGTATACTCGCCTGTTTTCAGTAGTATTGTAATGGGTAATTTCAGAAATAAGGGGCCACAATCTCGTTATACCTGCTTGTCTACCGAGTTACACATTATTTGGCTTATTATAAATTAGATCGGTGCGATATACAAAATCTTCTATACTTATTCAAATCCAGCCTAAACTGGCATGTAAAACTCGGCAGATAATGATTTTATAATAGAATGGAGAGGATATGGGACAAGCAAACTGCTGTTTACATCCCATCGTAGTGAATCGTGTTAATTCAAGTCCATCAAAAGAAAGCGCCAAATTCCGTGACTAACGCGAGCCGCAACGTTCCCACTGCGAAGACAACTGTAGGACCTCGTGGGGAGGAGGGCTTTTACTGCCCCAGGTAAGGGCCGAGTGAGCACGTTCGTTGCGCCCACTTGCAAATGCCTCAGGCGACCTTGACAGACGAACTGGGCGGGAATGTGGTGGATGGGAGTGGTGATAGGAATAAAGAAATGATGTGAGTGAGCGCAAGGCTAGTAACAAGTAGAACTGTCGGTTTACGAAGAGACTTGATTCGTAGTGAATACTGATATTTCAAGCAACTAAGTAACAACGTCAATTGCTAAAGCACGAGGCTGGCGCTCGTTTTGTTATGTTCCCTATCACTGTAACACCTTAATGCAGACAACACAGGCGGCCTCGGACAGTATACTTCTCACAGCCTTTCGTCCCAAGCTCTCGGTACTTCCCATGATTTGAGTTGTCACCACAAGTATGGAATTAAATGTCTTGAAGTCAACATGGGGATGACTAAGTTTGCGTGGTCGGGCGTGCCTGCCTGTGCCGTTACGTCCTCCATCTACCAGATCGATAGTGTCGAGCTAAATGCAAATGGGCATTACAAAATTACCAGCCATTTAAGCGTCTTTGAACTGACTGCTAGAAGAATCACCACAGACAAAGTGATCAACTCGTTAAAATAATTAGATCCAGAAACACGGCCCTTAATAGTGCAAGACTTTACAGAAGCAAAACTTCACACACCCTACACATCACCTGGATTTCGCTGCATTAACGCGCCATCAATTTTACCAAAAAAGAATTAAGGATTAGATAAAGTAAAAACAACAAAATATTGTACAAATAATACTATTAAGAAGTAAGAACCAAAGTAGACAGATTTTCAAATTCCGGATAAGAAAGCTAAGATCTTCTCCAAATTTCTCAAAATTAACACAGATTAATGAATTTCGGTATAATCAGTGGTATTATAGACACTAATTCACGACTGATTCGTCTATTTGTCCTTTGAAGTATGACTTTCGCCATATTTTAAGTGTAAAATAATATCAAATTTTTACTACAGTGCTGTAAACCAGTTGTTATGGTCCCCAGAATGTGGTCTTGAACTACGCCGGGGCCAATGAGTTAACCACCCGCTACCCGCTATAAAGAAGATGACCGGAGAGGACGTGTACACGTCCGTTTACTTCAGAGCTCAACCAAGTTGGTGTCGTTGTGTTACGTGTGATGTTTGTGTGTCTGTGTATTTATATCTCAGTTATGTGAGCCATAGATGTGGTAACATCGAGACCTAGGTTTGAGGATAATCGAAGATAATCGTTCGCGCTAACGCGGGTGAGTTGAGGTTCCGCGCGGCTGGCTCCATGGTGCGAAAAGGTGGACCCTGTGTCGGAGGCTGGAGTGAGCGGATTAACGAGTGTGAACTAACAACGATGGAATCTAGGCAAATTTGCAGCAGCATTGCCAAAGTACTGCTCGCATTTATTAATCTCATTTTTAATCATTTTAACTAACGGAGATCGATTACTTCTGGAATAGAGTAAAAAAATTACACTAGCACTTGAAAAATTTCACTGGATCCTCATGTTTTTTAACGTAGTACGAAATGCTTAGTAGTGTTCAAACTGATCGAAAACTGAGGAACCGAAATTTGAATATTCATGGCAAGTGGCTGTGAGGATAAGTCACTTTTGAGCGATTCGGGTGAAGTAACATCTTAGACTTCCGGACACGTTTCTCAATTATCGTTTAGCAGCCGGAAGGCAGGAATCCAACATCATCAACTTAATGAAATATCGAAACACAACTGTGCTCAACAGATGTGAAAATTGCCCAAAATTAGTACCAGATGAAAAGTTGTCGGTTAGAAGGTGGTGAATTTCTTTGCGAGAGGTGGAAAGAAATAAGTTGCATGGTGAAACCACTCATATTCTGTTACAGAACATGGACTGAAGGCAGAGGGACGACGAATCCTAGAAAATATGAAGGATTGAAGTATCCAAATAACCAACTAAACTAACATTTGCTGTTAGCATCACCGAAGCTGCCCGAATTGAGTTCACTTTCTTAGAATAACATGACATTAGACTTATGGATAAAATCAACTCAAAACCACTCTTCTGGGTTGGTGAATATCTGATAGGATTGGACACTACCCCAAACATACATAAAGACGCTCTAGATAACAATTAGAGGATGGACGCATCACACCAGTGCCCTATAACAGTAATATGACCTAATTTGTCGTGGACCGAAGACATCCAGAGGTGGGAGATGCCCATTTGGTTCATGAAGACATTTCACATCCTAAAAATGTTCTTGTTTACTCTTAATTGAAAGCCCAGAGCTATCTTTACATTTTGGGTATCCGAGATAAGACAACTTTTAGTTTGAAACTGTCAAACGCGTTCGGTAAACACAAAATACCTTCCTCGTATTGAGATGAGTGAGCTCCCGTCAGCGCTCCAGTTATCGACAAATTCTGGTATGTACCCTGTCCTTCAGAAGGCCTTATTCAATGGCAGCCCATGAATGCTAATGTAATGTGTTAATTTATTTATAACCGCGATACGAGGAAAGAGGAGATGTTTGGTGTCTATATTTTGTTGATAATTGCGTAAGAATAGTTCTACAGGTACGCAGACGGAGTAGAAAGGTAAGAGTAACATGACTTTTTAACAGCTATAAACGAGTTAAGAGAACCCAAACGCAAGCACTCATTACGGAGAAAGCTTTGTGATCACATCACATGGCTCTATTGCCTTCATAGAATTTTGTACAGACTGCTTTGGATGGGTTCCGATATGGAAGCGTTCAATGTCGGAGAGTGACTGTCAAACTGGCACACGAACTCCAAAATTGTTTGTAAAATCATCTCCATCAAAATTAACCACCTTTCACATCAGACTAGAGTCTTAAAAGCACTTAGGGCTAAATAAATAACGACCCGGTAAACTGGACCAGTCCTGGTGTTGTCAGAACAATGCGTCACTCGGGATTAACAAAAGCCTAAAACGGACGCTATTTGCCCTCCTGTGACACCTACTGGACCACTATTAAGAAATTTAAACCATTTGAAAACATAAGGTGAGCTTCTGTTTGAATACTTTCCATGCCATTCTTTTCTACTGCTCCATCACCTGTTAATGCCTATGTAAAAGGCGGAATTTCTATCAGAAAAACTTTAACTACTTCGGCTCTCACTTCCTTCAAGAAAAACCTCCACAAGAGGAGAACCGGGTAATTTACAAACTAGAGAAATGAGTGCAAAATGCACATATCAGTGCCTTGCTTCCCCCTACATTTAATGGGTATATTACACAGGCTTTTAGTGATTTAATTGTAGACCTCTCAGACCTGTTGAGGTACTCGACACTAAGGAATGTGTTGTAAATAACGATGATATGTTTGAAGAGGATCTGTTACGCAATTGGATGGATGGCAATAAAAGGAGAAAACCGTATGAGATTACTTTTTAAGGACAATTTCCACTTTGCTCCTGTTGAGCATAATTTGCGGTGCATCTCTCTATTTTGTAAAACTAGGCACTAAGAGTGATTTAGAATGGCCCCTTTAAACATGGAAACGAATATAAGTTTACGAAATTATTGGAAGTATGGCGCTAATTTTTCGCCGGTAAAAGAAAACGTTTAACATGCTGAGTGGGGTCTTTAATACATTGGCTCAAACAACGCTCTTTAAATAAATCGATATTTGTCACGTGAACGTACGTCGCAACTTTGCACAGGTTAAAGGTGAGTCCAAACGCGTTATATGGAAGTTTCACGTCATTCCGGGTTTTGAGTTTAAAAGTTTCACAAACTACAAAATGCCGTCTTCTGCGGTTGCGATTCAGGAAATAAGGGCGGTAATGGCTGGTCACCCCATTTGTCGACTGTATAAACATAACCCGGGGAGGGAAGAGTATCTACGAGATGCAAGACATTTCTCTACTTGCAAGAACTCACCTTTCCCAGAACATTCAGGAAGCCTCAGGATGACCCAGCTAACACCCGAGTTGCCAAAAGCATGCCTTTTATGCTGCGTGTATTTTTGCCATAATGAACTCCAACCCCATGACCTTGTCAAAATCCTAAGTGTAACTGAAAATCTGCTTGGACCGTATACTTTTCTAAACATTAAAAAAGATGTTCTAGCTATTAATTGGAAGACGCCAGTCATGTCATACCATATCGATCCAACCGCACATCGAGAGAGACATTTTGCTACTGCTGGAACGACACCAAACAACATATTTGTGATTGAAGATGAGGGCATAGTTACTGAAAGTGCACATGAAGAGGCCACGGGTGTATCAGATCCAGACGATATAGCTCTTATTCCGACCATGTCCAACAACAATGCTTTAGACGAGTCTATTGCAGAAACAAG